TGTATCATAACCAAAAGACAAAACGAAACAAAATATATCAACAATAGCCAAGTACCATCAACAAAATATACCAATATATCAACAATATCCATGTACCATGTACCATCAACAGAATATACCATCAATATCCCCATGTGTCAGCAATAACCAGTAATATCCAGCAGCAGCAGCAGAGATGGATCCAAACTCTCCCCCTTTTTGACCGGGAATGAAGAAAGCAACAAATCAAGCACCAGAGGGAGGAGGTGGCGGCTGAAGCGTCAGTAAGGAAATGATGTGATCCAGCTGCGAAGTATTGTGAGCAGCAGTCTGCTCCAGCTGACCAAGTCGACCATCAAAGGCGTCAAAACGAGCATCAAGAAAGTCTAACCTCCGAGTCATGGCCTCCTCAAAATGGCGAAGCTGATCAGGAAACGAGCTAGATGGAACAGGTGGAGTAGGATCCTCCTCACCCCCGGCAGCAGCAGCATCATATTCATCCTCCTCAGCAAGACCAGCAGCGGTACCTGTAGAAGGACCAGCCCTAGAGGACTCCCCCTTAACATGAGCCCGACTCTGCGAGACAGTTTTCTTAGTGAAAGGGCGAGAGGGAGAGGCAAACTCATCATCATCAAGGGTAGGAGCCCCAAGGTCAGACAAAAGGCGGTTGATCAAGCAACCGTAAGGAAGGCCAAGCTTGGAATGGCCATGAGCACTGATCATTTTGGTGACAATAAGAGAGGCAAGATCAATAGAGCGATGATTGGCAATACAGGACAGAATGAAGCCTTGGTCTTGTTTGACCTCGGAAGAATGTGTGGTGACAAGGATGTTGGCGCAGACAATCAAATTAAGCAGTCGGAACTCCGGAAGAAGTTCAAACTGTTTAATCAAACCGCCTTGAGGCCAATGACGGGCAACACCACAAAGTTCCAAAGACACCTCATCGAAGTCACAAGTCGGACGATCCGGTACAGGGAATGGATAGTATTGGGGAGAACCCTGCTCAATCTGAAGTAGTTGGCGAATCAAAGCAGGGGTGACAGAAATGGATTTGGATCTAACCCAAGTGGTGAAAGATGGCTCATAATCCCTAATACCCTCCATATTACAGTAGAATTCTCGAACCCAATCGAGATTCTGACGCCCCGAGAATAATAAAACACGGTCACCTCCTAGAGGGTCGAACAATGGACGAATTTTGATGGACTCAAAAGTATCGGGTTGAACATTACGTTCTAAATGAACGGTTCGAGTCACAAATGATTTATGGTATGACTTGGATTGAGAGGCTGACTGAAACCTCTCAGGGTTAAAGGTAGGGCGTGAAACGGTGGCCTTTCGGCGTTTTGGGGCAGGAGCAGACATACCGAAAAAGACACTAAGACACCCAATCAAAGCAGCAAACCCAAAACCCAACCCAAACCAAAACAAACCAAAACACAACATTAGTGCAAGAATCAAATCAAAAACAGGGCATAACAAAAAACAGGGCATGAAAGCATGGTATTGAAGAACTCATAATTAATACACAAAATGTGAGAGAAATTGCATAGGATAAGTATGAATCATGAGTAAATCACAGCAATGTATCTAAGCCCAAATGGATACCCACGCAAAGAGACCTCAACAGTCCATTAAAGGATGAACACAGATAACTTAAAAAAAACACAGACACACCACAGAAAAAGAACACAAAAAAAACAGACAAACAGACAAAGAAAAAAATGTGAGAGAGAGAACCACAGACACGACACACAGCACCTCACAAAGCTACAAACCCAACACCCAATCGAACCAAAAGGAACAAGAAAACGAGAAAATAAAAGAGGGTAGAACTTACCAAAGAGCAAATCAGTGGGAAGGAAGATGAATGGGAGGAGAATCGACCACAAAGCAGCCACGCGACCAACCCTAGATCGAGAGAATGAAACAGGAAGAGAAAAAAATACCTCGAAGAGTCAAGAGAGGGAGTTAAGTATGAAATAGGGACGCTCGAGCGTACTGAGTACCGCTCGAGCGTACAATACTGCAAGCAGACTCCCGCTCGAGCGTTAAAAATACCGCTCGAGCTCAAAATACCATCTCTCAGAACTGTTAAAACGCGAACAAACTGCTGCAAGAGAGAAAAACACGCTCGAGCGTAAAACATTCCGCTCGAGCGGAACAAAACAAAAACAAACCCCTTTTTTTTTTTTTTTTTTTTTTTTTTTTTTTTAAAAAAAAAAAAAAAAACACCAAATAAAAAAAACCCGGGGGGAAATGCGCTGAAGAATTTCATTGATACAAATTTGCCTCAAATTGGGTTTCTATACCAAATTGGGGATTAAATATACAAACTTTACATGATATTCATATGGCCTTAATTTTAACCTAAGGCTCCCCATTGAATATCTCTGTCTACAAATTACTTTAACTCAAACTTTATATATATGTGTAGGCCTAAGCGGGTATTAGTTAGCCACTAATCCACCACGTCAATAGACTCTCAATTTTCTCATGTCTCTCCAAAACCTATCCCATTCTCAATTTCAACACCATGTACAAATTTGTATCCCAATGGGTGTCATGAAAACTTAGAATTGACCCCCCTCAAATGTTTGGCCAAACTGCCAATTAGCAGGCACCGCGTTGTAGCTAGTAACAGTCCTTCCATCACTAGTAGTGACTTGAAATGAGAGCGACTGGCCATTGAGCAAGGAGTTACTCTGCCAGTTTTGGCCCCAATTCCTTGACATGGGTTGCCACCCTGTGTTAGACCCCTTAATCGACACCGACTGGACGTCTCCTGCGCCACCAACGTTGCTGACCAAGACCAAGTTGAAGTAAGAGTGACCATTGATTGTAAATCTTATTCCTCCTTTCTTCACACAAGGCACCCTGTGAAGACCATCACACAACCATATTTGTGAGTCAATTTAGAGGAAGGATAAATTATTGTCTGTAAGACACGATCCATGTATCACACTCAATACGAGAGCACAAACTCCTTGGTTTTTATTCCTTTTTCAAATTTACTAGCACAAATCAAGCAAATCTTTGACTAAACTTTAAGTTGATTTTTTAACTTTTGGAAATGTAGAGGAAAGAAAAAATAGGGAAAAAAAAAATCCTAGTTGCACAAAATTAAATCGCCAAAAATTATATAGAAGACACATAGGGGTGTGGAGCCCACACCCATCTTTGTGTTCTGTGCAACTAGCAAAGCTGTAGGATAGTTAGTGAGCAACCCTTACCTTTGGAAAGACACAGGAACAATTCCAGCTTTGTATTGGGCAATTTGTAAGAAAGCAGGCTCTGCTAAATCAAAATGTTGGAGGGGAGGGTTGCACCACCCACCATTGTCATTAGACTGAGAAGGGTTAGGTGGGCAGAAGTTTGTAGCAGTCACAGTGATGGTCCCAGGGAGACACCATTGTGGGTCATCATTGCAGTTTAAAGTGAGATGGAATAGTTTTTGAGAGTATTTCTTGATGTCTTGAGAAGAGTTCTTCACTCCGGATCTAAACTACATACATCAAGGAGTTGGTTTCTTTATATTCAAGAGAGAGTTCTCTTCGGTGGATTCCGAAGATTCTAGCATATAGTTTCGAAAGGTGTTTGATTCTATATGTGGGTGAGGTTGTGGAATCAACTTCAAGATTGATCAATTCCGAGATGAAGTTGTGAAAAAGAGTTACAGAAGATTCGGAGACAGGTTGACTAAGTTGGGTAATTTGTAAAATTTCTTTGTAATCTTTTTACTTCAGTAGTGGATTGATTTATGGCGTTTCGCCCGTGGTTTTTTTAATCACAGTTGGAGGTGTCCAATTGTGGTTTTTTCCACGTTAAATAGTTGTGTCTCTTTGTCTTGATTGTTTGATTGGGATTGTTATATTCTGCTTAAAATTGATACATAATCACAAATCAACATCTAGGGGATTTCTAGATTTTTCAATTGGTATGAAAATCTAAGTGATTCGTGATTAGATCAAGATTAACATATTCCAAATCCCAAAAATCCAAAACACACAATCTAAATCAACAAGCACTTACGAAAGTGATTTAGATTGTTGTTTTTTGGAATAAACAATAAATCGACACAACTGATTTTTACGTGGAAAAAACCACAATTGAAGAACCTTCAATTGTAATCAAAAACCACGGGCGAACCGCCACTATCAATCCACTACTGAAGAACGAAAAGATTACAAAGAAATCATACAAATCACCCAACACTAGTTAATTTGTCTCTGAATCTTCTGTAACTCTTTTCACCACACCTTCGTCACGGAATTGATTCTGAAGTTGATTCCACACCACAACTTCACTTGTCGAATTAACAACTGCGTAGAATCAAACGCCTTTTGGATCCTACGCTTTGATCTTCGGAATCCACCGAAGAGAACTCTCTCTTGAATTTAAAGAAACCAACTCCTTGATGTATGTATTTTAGATCCTGAGTGAAGAACTCTTCTCAAGACATCAAGAAAAACTCTCAAAAATCTCCCAAGAAGACTTTAAACACAACCCTAGTTTGTTTTGATCAGATCTAGGAAAACCGTCCCAAACAAAACAACGTTAGCAGCTTTAAATAGGAATCTGAATCGCGATCTCCGCTCGAGCTCAACATAGCCCGCTCGAGCGGACTGAACAAAAACTGCATACGAAGAACCAGAGATGCGCTCGAGCGTAGGAGTTTCCGCTCGAGCGTCAAATCACACCTTCCAGTATCTGTGCTTGCCCTGTCAAACTACTGTGACCTGCTAATCTACGCTCGAGCTCAAGAGTCTCCGCTCGAGCGGACAGTACAAAAACAGAAAAACATAGTTTTGAATCAACATAAGATTTTGTCTCCGGATTTGACAACACAGGGACCTAACAATCTCCCCCTTTGTCAATTCCCGGACAAAACTTTTCTAAACAAAAGTCCTTAAACACAAGCACTAGACAAAATTAAAAAACAGCCACAAAAACACTCAATCCACACAAACACTCAAAATAACTCTATAAACAAACAAGCTTTCCAATCTTGCCATATATCGATCCATCAATCCAATTCATCATCCACCATTCACCTGTGAAAAAAACGAGCAACATACCAGAAAAACCAAAACTTGTGGAACTATATAAGAATATAACAAAATGTATCCATTCAATAGAACCAACGAAGCAAAATATCAAAATATCCATGTATCAGAACCAAAAGACAAAACGAAACAAAATATATCAACAATATCCAAGAACCATCAACAATAACAATATCCAAGATATCAACAATATCCATGTACCATGTACCATCAACAGAATATACCATCAATATCCATGTGTCAGCAATATCCAGCAAAGCACAAATGTATCCAAACTCTCCCCCTTTTTGACCGGGAATGAAGAAAGCAACACATCAAACATCAGATGGAGGAGGGGGCGGCTGAAGCGTCAGTAAGGAAATGATGTGATCCAGCTGCGAAGTAGTGTGCGCAGCAGTCTGCTCCAGCTGACCAAGACGACCATCAAAGGCGTCAAAGCGAGCATCAAGAAAGTCTAACCTCCGAGTCATAGCCTCCTCAAAATGCCGAAGCTGATCAGGAAACGAGCTAGGTGGAACAGGTGGAGTAGGATCCTCCTCACCCCCAGCGGTAGCAGCATCATATTCAGCCTCCTCAGCAAGACCAGCAGTGGTACCTGTAGAAGGACCAGCCCGAGAGGACTCCCCCTTAACATGAGCCCGACTCTGTGAGACAGTTTTCTTAGTGAAAGGGCGAGAGGGAGAGGCAAACTCATCATCATCGAGGATAGGAGTCCCAAGGTCAGACAAAAGTCGGTTGATCAAGCAACCGTAAGGAAGGCCAAGCTTGGAATGGCCATGAGCACTGATCATCTTGGTGATAATAAGAGAGGCAAGATCAATAGAGCGGTGATTGGCAATACAAGACAGAATGAATCCTTGGTCTTGTTTGACCTCGGAAGAATGGGTGGTGACAATGATGTTGGCACAGACAATCAAATTAAGCAGTCTGAACTCCGGAAGAAGTTCAAACTGTTTAATCAAACCGCCTTTAGGCCAATGCCGGGCAACACCACAAAGTTCCAAAGACACCTCATCAAAGTCACACGTAGGATGATCAGGTACAGGAAACGGATAGTATTGAGGAAAAACTTGCTCAAGCTGTAGAAGTTGGCGAATCAAAGCAGGGGTGACAGATATGGATTTGGACCTAACCCAAGTGGTGAAAGATGGCTCATAATCCCGTATACCCTCCATATTACAGTAGAATTCTCGAACCCAATCGAGATTCTGACGCCCCGAAAATAATAAAACATGGTCACCACCTAGAGGGTCGAACAATGGACGAATTTTGATGGACTCAAAAGTATCGGGTTGAACATTACGTTCTAAATGAACGGTTCGAGTCACAAATGATTTATGGAATGACTTGGATTGAGAGGCCGACTGAAACCTCTCAGGGTTATAGGTAGGGCGAGAGACGGTGGCCTTTCGGCGTTTCGGAGCAGGAGCAGACATACCGAAGAAGATACTATTACACCCAATCCAAACCCCAACCCAAACCAAAACAAACCAAAACAAAACATTAGTGCAAGAATCAAGTCACATGAAAGCATGGTAGTGAAGAACTCATAATTAATACACAAAAGGTGAGAGAAATTGCACAGGATAAGTATGAATCATGAGTAAATCACAACAAAGTATCTAAGCCCAAATTGTTACCCACACAAAGAGACCTCAACAGCCCATTAAAGGAGGAACACAGATATCTTCAAAATACCACAGACACAACACAAGAAAAAAAAACACAAAAAAAACAGACAAACAGACAAAGAAAAAGAGTGTGAGAGAGAGAACCACAGACACGACACACAACACCCAACAAAGCTACAAACCCAACAACCAATCGAACCAAATAGAACAAGAAAACAGGAAAATAAGAGAGGATAAAACTTACCAAAGAGCAAATCAGTGGGA